ATGTGTCCAATTGCTGCTTGAAGCTCTTGGGACATTCTGTCCTTCGTGGCTTTCACAGATTCAAGCTCTGAATGTTCTTGATGAGTTTCTTGTGCGAGCTCTTGATATCTCATGTAGATATATTCAGCTGTCGATTCCGCCAAACGTAGCTTGTGTTCGAGCTCTTCAATTCTTATTGTTGCTCCTTCATCTTCCTGTGTCATCTCCTGTAGATGTTCCTGCATCTTCCTGTTATAGTCAGACATTTGCCTAAATTCCACTTCAGCCTCGTGGTATAGTCGTGAGTACCCAACTTGGATGCATTCATATTCTTCATGAAGAAAATTGTATGCGTTTCTCGCCGATCTCAATTCTTCACCCAGCTGAATCTCTCTTCTTTGCTCTTTTGTTCCTCTATCATCGTCACGTCTCTTCTCTATATTCCTTCTTGGGGATCTTGCAGTAGACGTTATAGGCGATGTAGATCTTGTTGTAGCTCTCATCGATCTTCTTAGTCCTACGGGCGCAAGATCGGTCAGATTCCGAGCCGGTGGCACGGATCTTTCCGAGATTTGTAATCCAGTAGGCATAGTGATAACGTCAGCATTTGCTGATGAATCAGTACCCATTGTAGAGTCCGGTGACGAAATGGCGTTGAGACCACCAGGATCAGCGAATAAATAAGATTCGCTTCCATTTCCTCCTGAGCTTGACATTACAGGTTTCTGTAATGACTAGTCTTGTTCTTGGTCTCGTATAGCTCGTACGGCTATAAAGACCGCGTACGGCTAATAACCTGCGAGTAGATCTTAATCAGCGAAGCTTGAAGCTATCAGTGACGGTCCATAAGCGGCGTAGCGTCGGAACGGAAATCGCACCTTTTCTAGTCGCTTGATCAATCGCACCTTTTCTAGTCGCTTGATCCTTGAGCCAAAATACATATGGTACATATATATATGTACATGTTGCACTATACATATCGCTGCACTTTCATTCGTAAAATATATCTTTTTCTACATAAAAAATAAAATAAACATATATCTATAAATTTCAATCTATTATAATATCAATAATATTTTAATTTCATTCGATAATTAATTTGAATATATTAATATCGATAATTCCTTATTACAATCATCCATAAAATATCGGATAAATATAATCAATAAAAAATTAAATACACTTAAAAACTAAAAATTAGAATCAAATTCTTCATTAAAAAATAAAATATCCTTGTGTAGGTGTAAATTTATTTTTAAATCAGATTGTTTCCAAATATTTTATTGTTAGTGATTTTCAATTCTTTCTTAAGATATATCCGTCCTTTCTGTCATTAATGATGTCCGTCTCTTTTCCGTTGGCCACGCAATTTTTTTTATGTGCCTGCCAAATGATTTCTTTATTTTTGTCCACCAGGTTCGGTGCCTGCACTGCTGGCGTTCGCCCTTTTCCGCTGGCTCCCATGTGATTTCTTCACTTGTGTCTCCCAGGTTCGGTGCCTGCACTGCTGGTGCCCGCCCTTTTCCGCTGGTCATGCAGCATTTCCATTCATTGTTTTCCGCCCTTGTCCGCTTCTCGTCTCCCTTTGTCTCCGGTCTTTGTTTCCCTTCTTGTTAGTCACAGTATCCGCCTTGTCTCCTGTCTCCCTTCTGTTCCTTTTATCTCCCTTCTTGTTTCACTTCTGGTTGGTCATTGTGTCCGCCTTGTCTTCCTCCTTATCTCCCATGTCTCAAAAAAATTGACTTGGGAATGCTTCTTTGTTGTCCCACCTGTTTGGGGTCTACGGTGGTGTAATCTTAAACTATTTCCGTCGTTCCCAGTTGTAATACGAAACGGAGCACGCGAGAGCACAAAGGGGCGTGAGCAGGCCGCTTCGAATATATAATTTAGACTGACCGACCTTTACATATCTTATGATTGAAGCATATATTTACATATAAATGACAATATGGTTAATATGGTTTATATTACTCCGTGACTATATGGGTTGGAGGTCTGTATGGCTTTGCCATCGCTTGTGAAACATTTGTCGAGTTCTTCGAGAAAAGGTTCGACATGACAAAGTTGAGAGGCTCCCAGGTCCCTCACCAAGCAAATGCTAAAAGTGGTGTCCAAATGCCAATACCAGCGGTCATTATGACATTGCTAATGGCTCCATCCTGGCTAAACTCTGTTTGGTTTTGCTGTGCAACAGAGTTCGTCTGGCCGGACAAGTAGAAAATGCTGCGTCCCGTCCAGGTGAACGGCATCATCAAATGAGCCACCGATGGATCGTGCCAGCCTCAGCGAGATCATGCTTCTTCAACGAACACCCCAAAATACCCCAAACACACGAGACGAAACTGCGGCAAACTTTCAGCTTGTCCCACCAAAGGGTCAGCATGGGTCAGCTATCACTTTGCCCATCTTTTCCATTTCCACAACCGCTCTTCACCCACCAGCTCCTCACCAAACCGCTTCCACCCACCCTCCACCGGCCCAAGCAGCTGTCAGTGACCGTCTGGCTGCCGCCCTGCACATAGTCCACGAAGGTGGTCCTATGCGTGCGTGCTCCGATCCGACGGGTAGCACTCACCTACCGTTTGCACTTGCTGTCCGGGCGCCCTGGAGTAGGAGACATGTTTACGTAGGGTAGTCGGTCTCGCCAGGACACCCATGTCCAGGACCCTGGTACCAATTTTGTAGCCAGTAGCCTCCTAGTAGTACATGTATATAACCTCCAATAGGAGGAAAACCAGCCTCCGTGCATCCGATCCGGTTTTCCTCCTCCAAAAACACCAACAAGATGGAACCCACGAACCCCACGTTCGAAAAACTAATATGTCCAAATGACACTCTTGTAGGACACTCTTGTGGGACACTCTTCTGGGACACTCTTGCGGGACATTGTAGGACACTCTTGTAGGACACTCTTGCCGGAAACTCTTGTGGGACACTCTTGTGGGACACTCTTGTGGGACACTCTTATAGGACACTCTTGTGAGACACTCTTGTGGGACACTCTTGTAGGACAGTCTTGTAGGACACTCTTGTAGGACACTCTTGTAGGACACTCTTGTGGGACACTCTGTGGGACACTCTTGTGGGACACTCTTGTGGGACACTCTTGTAGGACACTCTTGTGGGACACTCTTGTCGGACACTCTTGTGGGACACTCTTGTGGGACACTCTTGTAGGACACTTGTGGGATACTCCTGTAGGACACTCTTAAGGGACACTCTTGTGTGACACTCTTGTAGGAAACTCTTGTGGGACACTCTTGTGGGACACTCTTGTGAGACACTCTAGTGGGACACTGTTGTGGGACAGTCTTGTGGGACACTCTTGTGGGACACTCTTGTAGGACACTCTTGTGGGACACTCTTCTGGGACACTCTTGTAGGACACTCTTGTAGGACACTCTTGTGGGTCACTCTTGTGGGACACTCTTGTAGGACACTCTTGTGGGACACTCCTCTGGGACACTCTTGTAGGACACTCTTGTGGGTATCTCTTGTAGGAAACTCTTGTGGGACACTCTTGTAGGACACTCTTGTGGGACACTCTTGTGGGACACTCTTATAGGGCACTCTTGTGGAACACTCTTGTGGGACACTCTTGTGGGACACTCTTGTGGGACACTCTTGTAGAACACTCTTGTGGGACAGTCTTGTAGGACACTCTTGTGGGACACTCTTGTGGGGCACTCTCGTGTGACACTCTTGTGGGACACTCT